ATTATGCACTTAGGCATTTTAAGTGCTTATTTCTTCGCATAGTCATTGACAATGAAGCAGCACATCATTTAAAAAAGGTTTTTTGGCGCTTCAAATTAGCCCAGTAAAATATCTATGGGGATTATACTTCTAGGTTACTGTTCTTGCAGAAATCGTAAATATAGGAAGCACGTTTAGTGAATAACTCACTTTCTGTTACGATGGTCGAACCAAATCGCAAATCCAACAACGAGGCCCAGAGCAAGTAGAGTAACCAACAGTACCGCAGCTACATGGGCTACAGCATAAGAAAGAACTTTCGAGAATCCCTACACGTCGGTGTGATCCAACTATGCTTTTGCAGAATTGAGGCAGTGTGAACTGATATATAACGGTGCATGTTGCTAGTTAGATGGTGGCAGTAGTAGCACCACAGGATTCTTGAATAAAATTGATTGTACTGTGATCAAACTTGCGATCAACGTGGAACTGGTTTCAGATTCAACGAAATTCAAACCACCTAATGAGTTCTATTATACGACAGTCATACCAACGAGATTAGGCGATTATCTATTATTTAAATATTGTTTTACTGACACAATTTCTAAGCATTCCGGACTGCCAACAGAATAATCTCCACTCAGGCCGCATATGAAAAAAGACAATCAGGTTTGGTCCACAGTGATTTCAAAGGATGAGGGTTTAGAAAATACGAGTTTTATATTCCGTCATAATTTAGGGACAACCGCGTCATTCAACTCTACCAAACCAATGAGGGAATTAAACCAGTAGAGTATTGAACTGTTGGTGCTTCAGAACGGGTATGGCACTGCAGAAACGCAAATTTTGAATCTACAATGAAGGCCAGATGGTTTGAGTTTGAAATGATTCTTCACACTTATGGGTTTTCAAAGTTTTATGGAATGCAAGTGGCTTTGAACGTACAGATGCGCTACGCCGAGTACATGGGTCAACTTAACTTACAGGGCTGCATACTGCTGGTGGTGTGTACATTAAAGAAGTGGGATTGTGTCCACGATCCGTTGCCAGCAAGCGAAACCGCCATTACTTGCCATTCGTAGTAGCCGGCACGAAGAAAGCCCAGCTCGGTGAATACAGTTCGAGAATTGTTTGAGTGTGGATAGGGCTCCGGGTGAGAATGATTAGAACCAAAACGTGCAAATGCAGCATTTACCGAATCGCCCTCTAGGTACCTAGGTGCCACGCAAATAGTGAACCACGGCAGCTACAATATGTACAAACAGCAATGACAAAATGATGTAACACGTAACAAAATGACAAAGAAATTACACTGAAAATGAGGAGCGATGATTTCTACGTTCATTGACTAAACAGGCTAGACTATAGGGGTGATTTTCAAAAAGCGATGATTTGTTCCAATATGGCCACTGTTGAGACAATGGAGAGACCGGAAAAAGTTGTGTAAAATGTGAAAAGATACTATTCGATTTAGCAGTTTCTTACCGACAAGGACGCATTTTTATTGACATCCTCCATTCGTCTGTACTGCAGCCAGTAGTACAGAATGAGGCCGTTTGGACTACAAGGTTCATTCCAGAAAAGTTTGACAGTCTTGGCTGATTCCCCTTGGTGAATATCTGGGAATACAGAATTAGACGATTGGGAAAGTTGTGAAAGGTTAGCAAGAGCGTCAGAGAGCCGTTCAGATGATTGGCCATTGGTGGGAAAGGGAGGAGTTAGTGCGTAAAGACTGGTTGAGGGCACTTCATCGGCATGGGGCACTGCTTGGGTGCGTTGGGAGATGCGAACTGGCTGACTACAACCAGCGTCTAAATCGGGGTCACAATCATCGCCGACCTGAAGAATAGAAAGACCACGTAAAAAGATATTTCAACATCCTATAACTTACACGTGATCACTTTAATTGTGGTTACACTTGCTTTTATCAATCACGACTCCACTTATCCTTTTATAGCATAAATCGTGCCTGAAGCGCAACAGTTTATTGGGCGTTATCGATCATTAAAATAGTTTCATTAACCCATATTATTTAATTAGGCACCCGAGTTCAATCCCTGATCTGGAATGCTTGCAAAATCACCCGGTACATGTACAAACATACCGATTTTCTTAGGTTGGTTATGATGAGTCTTGGGTTTTCTTAACCAAGCTCCGACGTTATACGTGTTGATTCTGAATTTAAAGAATTCAGTGAAATCGAAATGACTTGCCACACATTGCAGGTTCCGGGCATATTGAACCAAACAACACATATGTCGTTTTAAAAGTTGAATTGTTTTGTTCAAACATGTTACGTTTAAATAGGAAACTGATAGGGGTACGGGTAATAGATCACAGAACCAAGTAAACACATCATAGCCATTTCTTAGCATTTATGATCGGTAACCTGAAAATGAAGCTGTAAAACAAGTATCTATTTTCGCTATACTAAAAATCCTTTTGGGGCTAAAATTCAGATGCCAATAATAGCAGGCGAATAAGAACAACGCACGGTGCTCCTGGAAGTGTAGGACGAGTCTATAATGGCATTTCAACTTGAAGTGGAAAGAATGTTTGTTGCAAGCGCTTCAAAAACAAATTAATGGGCAATGCAAAGTTTGAGGTCCCTCTCAAAAATGAAATTAACCATGAAAAAAAAATCAGAAACCGCCACAACTGAAAAAAGCACATTTAACATCAAGAAATTTGGTTATACGAATCGGATGCTTCTAGAATGTGCCCAGATTGCTGATGGGCTTTCATTGCCCTCAATTTAAAATGTCTTTCTTTGTATTATTTCCATAGTGCGCGCTGATACCCACACAGCAAGTCGATAATGGGACAAGCGTTAGAATACTGATCAGTACAGACAACGTAGGTTGAGCAACTTACTGTCAACTATAACCGAGCGTTTTTTTGCGACTCATACAAACTGAAACAAAATTACCATAAATAAACTTAGTAATAGATTTTGTTAAGTTAACCCTCTCATCATGTTTAGCTTGAAGTAACCAATTTACACAAGTGGTTCCTTGTAAGCGCAGAAACCTACACAATGCAATGGGTTTCCCAATTCATCATGGGGTTCATGGCAAGCGGAAATGAGGAAAAGGTACTCGGTGAAATGTTCTAATCCGGTCACCAGAAAACCTAATTTGTTAGATGCAGTCGACTCTCCATTCATGTCAGGAGTAGCTGGGACGCGTACAGTCTTTTGGGGTAAAGTAAAGTTTGTCGCACCAACGTTTCGACGTCTTCGAACTAAAACAAGAATGGATGAAGGAGAGGAAATCTATGCCCAGGTTTTGTGAGCTAGATCTAACTTTTTTCACCACTGACAACGCATTGTAAGCCAACTAACCTACATCTGATACACAGACTTAAAAGTTTGTGCATTGTAAGTGAGCATAGCATGGTAAAGATGAAACAAAAAAATAAGGGGATTACTCACCCAAGTGTAAACTATTTTCAAGCAAAAAATCGTCCTTTTGTGCGTACTCGTAAAACCGTCGCATCCTAAATTGATGTAAGCATAGTTGAATTAGCCAAATAGGTGGACGCGATTAGTAAAATGACCGTATCAAGGAGGTAAAACGATGAGTAGGCCGATGAGAGCAGTTTCCGCTTTCTGATTCTAAATGGGGGTGATGAAGGGATGTGTGTGTGTGTGCGTGCGTGCGCAGTGGCACTAGGCTCATTTAAACGCACGCTGAGAATACGAAGCAAACACAGCTGGCTGCAAGCAGATACATGCGCGCGGGAACACACAATTGAGGAAATAAAGATACGAGAACGACGCGTAGATGGTGATAAATGAGCACATGGTAATGCAATTTAACGTTCATGAAAGTGAATAGCAACGGGACGTGCACTCACGACTCCTCGTCATCCCCATAAATGTAGGGGTCTGCACCGAATTCATCACCAGCTAGGAAGGTGAAACTGCTTTGATGCCGTTAGAGGGAGAAAGAAAAAAGGAATATGATCTAATAATGCGTTCAGAGAAACCAATGATTTAACACTTTTGCGCACTGCTTTAATAGGTAATTAAGACCAAACGACACTACAGCAACATCCGCGTACACCACAAAGGTATATTTCTAGTCAATTATGCACAACAATTTGGATGCTTTATACAAAACACAAAATATAAACGGATCAGAGGCAAACACTAGTGCACATTTTCTGTTAAAGCACTGAACCTATCAGACAAAAATACAACTACGCTTCAAAAAAACCAAGCACAGATTCAATGAAGTTCGAGTAGGATCAAGGGAGTTAGAATTACCATTAGCCACAATGCCCGCACCATAAAAGCAATTCCAAGACTGCTAAAGTTAAATTTATTAAAACCCCAATAAGAGTCTTGAGGAATCCACCCAAAGCGCTCAAAACTCGTCATATTAATAGCCAAGATGTAACGCGTTACATGTGTCGAAAAGCGAGCTAGGTAGGGAAAACTGTTATAAGGAGCTGAAAAACAGTATTTTAAGCGACAGATGCTATAAGGCGTAATGAAAAAGCATGCTTAAATGAGGCGAGTGAGTTCACACAGTACCACAACGCAAAGCACCACAAACCGAAGTAATAAAGCACGCCTTCTATGAGCTTGCTGTAATCGTTAGCTTAAAATACCATGCAATAAAGCAGTTGAAGGCACAACATGATCTGAAATTGATGAATATAAAACACGCACCGCCTTCTGCATAGGGAACCGGAAAGGCAGGAATGCAGTCATTGATTTGCATTCACAATAAAGGCATGTGAAAACAATAAATTTGACTCAAATTAGTGGAAAACCTTCTACTGGCGAAATATACTTATGCTCTAAAATGGGTTTCTTTTGGTTTTCTACATTGAATTCACTATAAGTGGACAGTTGAGTTTGTTGTTTTCATATTTGTACTAATAAATTCTGTCCTATCTACAAAGAAAGCTATCAGAAGTTTATTTGTATGCCAAATGAAATTACAAAAAAGGTATAAACATGAAAACGACTTGAACACAATATGTAAGGCAAGTATATATAAATATTTAATACCCGAATAAGGCAAATCAATGGCGTTTTTGTACAATAATTTAAAAACCACTGGACTCCGTATAGATTATATGGATTAATTTTCGATTAAGCCAATTATTAGAATGATTGCCTCCCTGTCCGTAGCTTGCGAAAACTTCCCATAGGAATGTAAAAACATAAAGAAAATGATTTCTTCCCTAGTGATTTCCAAGCCCACAAATTCAGGAATCTTGGGATAAGGTATCGAAGGAAGCAACCAGGAAGGTCTCATTTTATTTGAAGAGGAAAACGAAACAATGGTTGGTATTCAACAAAGGTTTGTAGCTACATCGGATTCTTTTTGGAGAAGTACCTACTGTGTGGATAAGGTCTTGCTCCGAGACATTAAAAGCAGTCACATGCAAAAGGTACTTAGAAGGAAAATATCCAAAATGTAACCAGTCAGAACGGACACTGGGTATACAACACAAAAACTTAGTAATTAATTCCAACTATATCTCCACGAAAATCCCAGCTTTGTTATTAGTCTAACAAAAACAAAGTTCAACCGTTCGGCAAGGACCTTTCATACAAATTCTAAAAGTAAGATCACATAAATGGCCATGAGACAGTCAAAATAAGTGCGGATTCGTTTAGAAACAAGAACACTTAATAGACCATACCCTTTCGAAAAGTCTTCCAGCATGGAGCTATTCGTGAAAATAATAGGATTTTTTAAAAATTACCTACTTTGTAGGCGAAATGTGGACGTTTTTGAAGTCGGCTATAACGCCTTGTGCAATATTTGATTAAAGTCAGATACAGGACACAAGAAAAGTTTCATCAGAGGGTGGCAAGAGGCGGAGGAAATGTAGTGACTTGTGGGGCTGGTTTGTAGACACAGGACCAGGACACGCTACGCTCGTAAAGTAGAAGAGAAACTACAGAATAAATCAGAGCATTTTAGAGCAGAATGAAATGAAATTCCGCCGTAGATGTGAACGAAAAAACCAACATAAGTGGCAAATATAAATAGGAAACCAATAAACTTCTAAATTCCTGGCCTTAGCCAAACTCGGAATACTGAGGCAAAACATCGCAACAAATGGGAATAAACAAAAAGTGTAAAAATTAAGTTGGTTTACAACAATACTATAAATCATTTAGCCATACTTCCCCTATAACGCACCAGATTATAAATAGTTGGCTTACGTTTTAGTGTGTGTTGTTCCCTGAGTCATAGTATGGATAGAGGCTCAAACAAATAATTTTGGCGTTTAATAAAAACATTCTGCAATACTTGGGACACCACTTTTCGCATTCATAAGTAGAACAAAGTAATTTATGAAAATGAACGTAATTGGTTTCTTTTTATTAAAAATTTCGTTAATTTTGATTGGAAGAGACACTAGTCTTAGTGATCTGATTAAAATAGATAAACTTGAGCAGGGATTTGCAGACTAACTGTAGTACCGGTTTTTTCCCGGAAAGTGACACAACACGCAACTGCTATACAACCGTTCGGAAAAAAATCGAATGGGCATCCGTGCCGACACAGAGCCAGGCCGATTGACAGTCGCAACATAGACGCTGTTTAAGGGTAGCACACAATTAAACAGCGTACTTCCAGAGATGCTTTTTCGAAGAGAGGGAGGGAGCAAATAGCATTACTCATTCCCCACAGCTATAGTCCCACCTCGCAAAGCCCCGTGGAAAACAGGAAAACTGGGATAAACGTAAAAAAGGTGAAACCATGCGCTTGAAAAAACCCTCTTGGCTGTCAGAATAAAGGATGAAGATGGGGTTGATCACCAACAGCGACAGAGAACAGCCACGAAACGCCCAGCTATGGTTAATTGCATTAAGTTGCAAATCGCATCACATAGATAAACGAAAAGAGTGCGTGCATTTGTGCCTAATAAGAAGCGTTCGGGTGCACCACAACAGTAATGGACAAGGACTTTGGACAGGGAGAGGGCGGGATGATGAGTGGGTAGGATTGGACGGTTGGATCAGCCAAGCAAAACCACAAGCATCACGCGCGGTCAGGAGGTAGCAGGATAAGGGTAATGTGAGGCTCTAGTTAGAGGCAACTTGCCATAAACTCCTCTTTGGACGGCGTCTAGGCTTCTTGTAGGGCCTGTTGAGGTCGAATTCATTCATATCCAATACAAAAATTCAATTATCACATACACACAGAGATGCAAAGGAGTAATTGATAAATAGGGTCGGTGAAGAGGAATTTGTAATGGAAAAAAATGACAAAAAAGAGGGATAAGATTATGCGCTAAAATTAATCAACTGCGGATCCTAACTTTATTGCAGTGCCTTAGAGAATCAACAGCTAAGCTTTTTGCAAAGAATTCTTCACTAAAATTACTGTCCTATTTAGGTAAATTTCTGTATTAACAGTTACAAAGTTGCAATTAGGAAGATATTTTAAAAAAAAATCGGAAAAGAAGGAAAACGAAAAATATGTAATGATAAAAACTTCTGGACTCAACATATTTAAGCAGTCTAAAACAATAAAAGATCTTACCAATATCTAAGTCACAAATAAGTGAAAGAAATTGCACCGACGGGCAATTGGGTTGTGTTAGAACTCGCACTTTTTCAATTCAAGGTGAATCATGGTTTAGGTCCTATTATGAATCACAAAATCACATTCACTCCATACTTGTGTTGTTACATCTGGGAATTGTCAATGTATAGTGAAACTCGCAAGCGCTGTTTCCTCATAACACTACCACAAATGAGAAAAATGACCAAAAATAAACCTACGCGTCATAGTACTGAAATCTTTAAGTTCAAATTAAATGAATTACTGTGCAAACGGCGCAAATACCAGTTATTAACAAGTAGCGCCCAATTCTGTTTGCCAAACCGATTCTGTATACTGATTTAGCTGCCTTAGAAAACACGGAAAAGTACTAGGCAGACGGACTAAACTATTGGTATGGGCAAATGCTTTCAAGCTATTAACAAAGATGAGATAACATCTATAAAGCATTAGATACTTTACTACTACACGACAAACGTTGATAGACGACAGACTGCATAGTACAGGCTTATTAGAAAAATTTGTAGGCAGACCAAAGTCAGGGTCGGCCACATCAATTATAAATGGAGCTCAACGTCACCAAGTCAAACACAATGCCACGGCCATTAACTCACACCCGAGGAATGAGAATAATCTTGTGTAGCTCGTCCTCAAACCGTATCATCTCACGACGCTGCAATTCTTCCATATTGATTTCCAGCCGTTTGAGTCCTTTCGTTGAGGATGGGGTACTGCCGCCGCCGACATCGTCGTTGTTCTCGGCCGTATCCAAAGAAACATCTTGACGATCAACAGATGATCGCGATGATGAACTTTTACCAGAGGACTCTACCGACGTCGGCGATGCGTATGTTTGTGGCTGGAATGGAACTGGGAGTGCAAAAAGGCGTCACGACAGTTAGGAGTACAATTCTGGAAGGAACCGTGACACACTAAATATGTCCAGTATTGCAGAACCTCATTAGCAGGGAACAGCCCTAATGACTTATGTGCAAACTAAAGAGGATCTCGATTCGAATTGAAGCAAAGCAGAAATAAATATTGTTACCTCTTGAGTAAAAAGGATTCAGTGAATGCCATATTTTTAGGTTGATTGACCAAGAGGAGGACCGAAATCTTAGTTGCCTAGAGTGATAATACACGGTTGTAGTAATACTTCTTCACAAAATCCAACCGATTTGATACACTAAAAGGTATCACTGAGTCGTTAAGGTTTAAATCAAATATCTTAAAACATAAGTATTTACAAATTTCGGCTTGATAAAACTGAAAAATAACTACTAATTCAGAGCGCTGTATCAATGTTATGCCTTTATGCCGTTCGACGCATTGGGGAAGTAAAGGAGAAGTTTACTTAATTGCTGTATTAATCAAAACCCAATCAAAACCAGGTACATTTTGGTAGCATCCCGAATCCCGAGTAAGACGGAAGCTTCTTCAAAAAATCCAGTCTGAAAAACGGTAGTACAACTCAATGAACGCTGAAGTAATTTAAAGTGTTTGACATCACACCATAGGGACGATATGCCCACTTACTACTGTAGCACGCATCCCTCGAAAGGAAGTCATTTTTCTCCAATTTCATTTGCGTATATCGAATGCGATACTCTGCAATCTTCCCATTTGGCCGACTCGGAGGATCCCAGTGCAACTGGATGCTTGTCGGACCAGCTGATAGAGCACGCAGAGAAGTCGGGGTCGATGGGGCTGGGTAGTAGAGAAAACGTAATCGGCTAATCCGGCTGTTTCATTTTAAAAACTACCTCTTCACGAAAGGTAATTTCCTGGCAAGTAAATAGGCTCACACTCCAATTAGACCTATATTTTTCATAACTATAAGCAGAGGAAGTGATTTAAATTTGATTATTTGAATTTCCACGAGGTTGATGGTCAACCTGAAAACCGAAATTAGCCCACTTAACAAAATAACTATTCATCTACGTACCCTAGCAGATACAATCAGTATTTTTTTCAATCATCCGCATTACCATAATAAAGTAGAAGAGCTAATGTGACCTTTAAATAAAAACCAACAGACGTTTGGTTCTATACATAGGAATTGAGGGGACGAGAGAGAAGCCATTTTACTTAAACGTAAGTAGATGAAGAACTTTAAGTGCCAATAAGTTAAACTAATATCATGAATTGATATTTTCGACCGAGGTATTGTGAATACTTTCAAGGGTAAGAAGGCATACTTGCAGGTTTTGTGGTGAATTGGAAACGACGACTTTGTGCGCCCTCATGTTTGCTCAGCGTTGCGATGGTTATGAAGGCGGAATACGAGGTTGCGGGAGCGAGATTATCTAGCTGACAGGTCAAAATCTCGTCGCCATGGCTGCTCCCAATGGACATCGACGGGGTGAGATTATTAGATGATGGGGGAAGTGAACAACTCAGTTCGACCTCATTCCATCTGAAAGTAACGAGGTGTTTGGAATTGAATATTGACCAACCTGAAATACTTCATTGTGGCAGGCGATTCGTGAACCGGCTGTCAAGATACGGGTAAATAACGAAATGTAGCAAGTTTAAGTGCCCAAGCACGCATGGCAAATATGGGTACGCATGATTCACATAAATACTGTCTTGTGTGTGTGTGTGTGAAGGGAATATACAAAAGACAGAAAAAACATAAGGTAGTCTTCCATGGGATACCGACTCAAGAAATCATTGAGGGAAAAAAATTAGTACCTCAAAAGCAGTTACATTGTTAGAGCCATCAGGGTTGAACCCCAACTCTTTCAAAGGCTTCAGGAGGTCACAAATCATGACTTACGTGCTGTCGCAAAAGGTGCGATCTGATGTCTCGGAAAGTAAGTTACGATTCTCCCTAAAAAGAGTAGGAGAGTGGAGAGGCAAGTGGAAAATAAAGGGTCCATGAGAGCAAGGACAACCTCACCTCCTGCCGTAGGAGATAATTGCAGGGAGAATTTGCCTGGGATCATTCCAAGCCATTCGATTCATTCGAAGGGTTATACTATTTTGCAATACGTCGGTTATTGTAACATTTAAAGGCTTTGCGTTGCCTAAAAAATTCCCAGAAAATAGACAAAAGTAGTTATTCCATTATGATGGCTCATTTAGACTTATGTACAATCCTCTTTGCCCGCAAGAAGAATACTGCACGGGATACTTAATTTGTAATCAACCAAAACAAATTATTTGTCAGATAGAATGGAGTGGAAAAATGGAATGATATGTCATCGTTTGCGATGAAAGTCAACAGAACAAATCACACTGCCCGGGGCTAAGTCCTGAAGTCATAAACAGGAGATAATTTTACGGACCAAGTATCAACATAGAGAAGAATACCAGAATGAAGACTAACATTAGGCAGCAGTACTTGCAAAAGATGTGTCACTTAAACAGCTATAAGTGCGAAACTTCTCAGATTTGTCCAAATAACAACATTTTGAGGGCCTCAAGAACCGAGTAAATGATATGAGATGGGACACAAGAGCTTAAAATAGACCCGTTCAAAGTTGTTAGACCAAAAGCACCTTAGCAGAATAGTAACAACCATTCAAGACTCAGAGAACCTACATAAAGCATATTCTCCATTCGAAGTATTGATTAAGTCAAGTTCTGATGGAGTTAGATCTCGCCCGGTTGTAAATACAACTCGGTTGCCGAGAAAACTCTGGATCTTCTCGGGACAAAGTCGATTGTTCACGCTAAACTCGACACTGCCCGAGTTAATCTGCAATTTGCGGGCACCTGAAGGTAGGGACCATAAATCTTCAAGGTTCGCATTCCAAGTTATCTCTAAGGCGGTGCTGGAAGAAAAGAAGATATTAACGCTATAACTCCGACATATCTCGTATTTATGTTGGGTATTTTAAGAAGTGCTTTCTAGACACCAGCATAGCTTTAAAAAAAATAGAAGAAAAAGATTCGCTTTTCAAACAACCATCTAATTGTTTTTGTTTATTCATCTACTTAGAACATGAATTCACTATTGAAATAAAAAAAATCATTTCTTGACAAATTCAATAAAGTTGAATTAGAGGGTAACAGAATCAAAGCAAAAGAGTACAGAGACGGAAAACTAAGGCGATGGCAAAGTTCTAATCACAAAACTGGAAGTAAACAACAAAATAAGCACTTTGCAAAAATATGGAAGTAATGAAGGGGTGATGAAAACAGCAGAATTATTTCCCCAAACAAACGGTGCCACGCTACGTCAACAGATATGCAACTTAATTACTTGTCACTAGATTTTGGAACTTGCAATGAATATTTTAAGCCAATAGGACGAGGTAACATACATCTCAGGCGAGAACTCGCTAGATGCACCTTTCTCATCGACGGGTAGAGCCTCTTTGCCGTGGATAGCAGTCAGATGATGCAGGAAAGAGAGGGAAAGTAGGGCATCTGAACGTATGACTCGCAGAGAGCGGTAAATAACTCGAAGACTGGAAAATGCATCAGCCAGGGCGGTGGAGAGGTCGTCTGTAGACAAAAGATAAGACAAAATTCAGTGACAAGTCAAGAGACAACAGGCTTGAGGACGTACGCAGCTAAAAAAGAAAAAAAAGTTGCTCAATAGTTCACAACGTTTATTCGCGACATTAAGATCCTGTAAGGCAGACATCAAGGAGGATAGTAAGATCACCTAATCTAAATAGAAATGAAGAATCACCGAATCACAAGTTGCTATTCTGTCAGAATAAATTTCTTTCTAAATATTTCACTCAGCCCGGTTAAGTTCATTAAGCACTATCAATGTTTTGCTAAAAATTTAAGTAGATTACAAAACAAAATTTCTGCAGAAAACACGAATTCGCAAACAACAAAGGCGAAGGAGTTAATATTACTGAGCCGCAATAAAAGAATGAAAATAAGAGCAAAAGTACAAGAGCTTTCGGGTAGTTTCTGTTTTACGGCAGAGTTGAAAAAAATTTTCCTTTTAAATGCAAGCTAACGCGATGTAAGGTAAAAATAAGTTAAAAAACACTATCTTTACATACCTAATAAATGACAGGGAAAACGAGACCAAGAAGCGAAAAGAGAATTTAGGCTTAAATTGCGGGTGTTTTCTGATGCAAATTCATATGACAGATTCTTGCACAATAAAAAAATCAAATTGGTCGAATCATTTAAACCAGGAGAAGTTCCAGTGGATGTTTTCTGTGGTCTTGTAGCATGAATAAGGGACGGCTAGAACGGGTAATATTAATGGTCTTTGCCCTTCAAAATGGTACCACAACAGGGACTCTCAAAGAAAGAACATGAAACGGTGAAATAAATTTGATCATGTGCTTTTATTTCAGGCCAAAAAGTTCGGACTTCGAGAGGATGATGCGGGTAGGAAAAAGCAACCTCTACAAGACGGTTTTTGTACGTCCACTAGAATATTTAAATTGCATTAGGAGCTGATTCGCTTTATCCAAAAAAACGATTATCCAAGTTAATTAACAAGGGACATACGTACAGACCAACAAGAACACTATTTTAAAGAGTAGTCACCGATCAAAGAACATGATTGTGAAGAAATAAAGGGAGTTAGATTTACTTCAAAGTTGTGAAAGGTGATTCACACTATTTTCAAGCAGTGAAGTCATGCTGTGAAATGTTTTGCCAAAAATGATCAAGAATTTGCCAAAAGAATGCATACCAAAACGCTTCAATCACAATTTGTTCGATTAAAATGAGCCAAACAACCTATCTATCATAAGCAACTCACAACACTTTCGTCAAGTAATGCGAGAAAAAAATCGAAAACAAGAATTCGTGGTTTGTGTGAATACTTAAAAATCAGCATTTTCCCGGTAAATCAAACCGAGTTACCAAGCTGCAAGGTAATGTACTAGTTTAGCACTTTTAAAAATATCATTTTTAGAGCTACGGAGTAGATCCTAGATCAAACCATGTTAGCAAAAATATTCCTGTGATTAAATTATGAACTTCCGCTATTTTATTCTTATCCGGCGTACAGAATGTCAGTCAGTTTACTTACATGCATGTGTAATTTCATTTGTCCAACCCTTCCTTTTAGATTTCCAAAATATACTCATGCTTTATGAAATAAAATTATAAGAGATTTTTGCACTTACTTGGATTTTTGAATCCATGATTTGCTGAAATTTCGGCGATTTTAGACAATTTCGGCTATAGGTTTACCTCCATTTAAAGGGGGAACATAAAACTGGTGTCGATGGTTTGATTTTACGTACTACAGAACTACTAGTGAGAAAAGATGTACTCACACAGTTAAATGGCGCATGACACTAAATTTACGCACAAGTTAATAAACCAGCGAATTTTTAAGCTCACCTTGGCCAGTTCTGATACTAATGAGAACAGACCGTGCGCTGACACAGTGCTTGACGGAGGCAAGGTCAGCTTGTTGGTAGATAACAATGTCACCACATTCTATAAACGAAAATATGATCAATAAAATATAACAAGACCAGAACGCAACATGCCCAGTAAATATTTAACAAGGCAAAAAAAACAAATCATCGGGTAGTAACAGATATAAAAACGACAACATACCTTTTTTCCATTTGCTATCACATTCGACATCACATGGGAGACACTCCCCAGACGAAGAGCGCCGAAAGCCTTTGGCGCAAATTGGAACGCACGCGTTCCCTTGAATAGAAAAGTTTACCGGCAAAGAGTCCGACAGCCGAGTGCTCTCAAGACTGAGCAGAAGATCCTTCGGGATGGGTTTGAAAAGGCAGGTCTCACGAGACACACAGTACCGTCCAAAAAGCTAAAATAGTGATAGTAAAACTCTACCGCATACATTGGGTGGAAAGGCAGCACACAAGATCTTTTGCACACTTGAAATTCCGAAGCCAAATGTCATTATAAAAAATCCGAGAGGACAAGGACAAAGGGGAATGGGAACAACCGAACGAACTTCTGCATGAATTCCCGTGGCCATCTTCTGCGTGGGCCCTGATTTTACGTCCGTCCCGATTGCATGAAATTTACCAGGAGCATACAATCAACCAACAAAATTGACCCTGGTGTTTAAAGCCTGCAAAAGGTCATGACAACTTGCGCAAAATGTACAATTATCAAACCAAATGCAGGTAACCAACGCCAAATGAACAGAATTTGGTGTCTGCTAATTAGGAACGACCATTTGCAAACAAACAGCTATCATCGCTTGCCAATGCCTTCATTAATGGGTACTAGTGCATGCACACAGGATCGTGCGAAACACCTACTTTGTTCAGTAAAATACGACCAAATAGCTGCTCCGATTAGGTGCTTCGCAGACCACAAATGGGACCCAATCAATACCCAATCCAATGCAAATCGGACACATCTCAGATCGACATTAGAAGATGACTGCCTCCAAACTCATTCCGAGGATGTGCATCTTGCAACGCAATTTTTATCAAATTACTGGAAGCCACAATACAAAACGGCGCTTCTGCTTCCACTCCACTCTCAAAATCCCACTTAAGGTTAATTTGTGCAATCTAGGGGACACACACACGTCAAGTGGATCAGTTGCATTTTAGCCCCCAGTGATAGCACTCGCTCCGTCTACGAGGTAACTCTCCACGACATCGAAGTCAACCTTCGTGAAAAAGCACTTTTGGGAGCACGCATTCCGAGGAGCTCATTACCAAGCTTCTTAGGTCTGTTCTTGTTAAGCTTCCTTTGAGAACAATAGCGAGTGTTTGCACTCCTTTAGGCCTTACAAGCCGGGACCTCTATGAGTATTGTGGACCAACCCAAATGACAGAAATCTAGCTATCTGTAGTTGTGGAAAAATACATCTTTTATAATTTCAAATTAATTTTTTAAGATATATCATTGCTTTCGAATTGTCAATGTCGGTAATGCATATGAATTACAACTGACCCATCGTTTCTAACCCGACGCCAATACTAGTAACAGAATGAAGGGACCTAAATATTCCTTTGATAAAACTAGGCTTAAAAATCCACAAAGACTTTGCATGCTTTAGGTGCCACTAATAACCTGAATGGTCATCCACCAGTATATTTGATTGCTATGCACAAATGCTTAATAAGCATTCAAATCGCTCATTGATATCATCTGAAATGCGGGTAACCACGAAAATGGAATGCGATCGTGTAGAAAACACCTGTTTAGTAACTGAGAGGTTTGGGGCTTCTTTGAGATGATGGAGAATGGACGACGACTGGTACTTTCGGATTCGCTGACAAATTTACCACCTGTTTTCATTAATTTTTTGTGATAGAGAGGATGGATGCTGCATGACAGGTTCAGTAAATAAATGTTAACAAAAGCAAATGAACAAACTTATGAAGTTGGGTGGTTAATAACCTATGTCATGTGATTAACTGAAATTTACATCCATATATGCAAAAGAGCCCTGCAAAATACTTGCCTATCGAAGACAAATCATCTTCTTTGCTCCCAAAAGCATGAGACAACGGTATGCGGTCAGCTTGCGAATTGTAAGTTCAGTTTCGTGACTTAGCCCCCAACTTTTAAGGAAAACGACTCAGCTCTAATCAAGTCGCCAAAGAAAACGAAACTAGGCAATTTATTTTCAGCATACTTTTTGACTAAATACAATTATAACCTCTATAAAACGTAATTAACCACTCATGTTAATACTTTGGCGTCGGTGTTGGCATCTCCATTCTAGATGATCACCTAAAACCGACAAAGTCGGCTAGTGAAAAGCAAATGATTGCTGATACCGTCAAACAAGTCTGGTTTACGGGTCACATATAAAAACGCACGTGTGATTAATGGGAATTGTACAACTCGCAAATATATAATTTATACACAAGCCACGCAAAAACCAAGAAAGTTTGTTATAAGCAATACAGAAATTATTTATCCACAAATTAATTACCTCGTAGAAGCCATTGGGACAGGAGGATATGCACATATTATTAAGACGGAAGTTACGACAGACAAGGCAATCATTTGCTGCTGGGCCGGTACAGCCACCCAAGCATGTTGGATGGCAACATTGACTAGCATTCTGAACTGAGCAACTCAAAGATGCCTCCCGGCACTTCGCAGCACAAACTAAAAGAAATTAATGATAAAAGGGCGACCTGCCCTAGTGTATATGTCTGATATGCCGAAATGAAAGTCTCACATATTCATTAAATGCAACCATTTGGATCGAGGTTAAAGCGAAGTGTGGATAAAATTCAGATTGGTGTAAGCTAGTTTTTCATAAATGCATGACAAATTCTTGGGGCCAAAACTTACTATATTGGCATTCGTCTTGAGACCAGCAAAACGACCTAGGCAGGTTGTCGACGGTAACTCGATTACATTTGGGAGGACAGGCATTTGCACATAAATCATACAGGCCTACTTTTCGCAGTAAATCTTGTCCATAAACGCTGCTTCCACTTCGCCTTTCTAAACTATCATTGAATGTGTGTATTTTCCAAGGGGACACGAAAGGAGTCAATAAGTGCCAGCCAACCGTATCCACGTAACACATTTGAGGATTATCCAACAATTGAACACCAGTTTCACCAAGTACACGAAGACATTTTAGACCAATACCAGAGAGGGCAGTGTGATGTATAAGGAGGGAATAAGGAGCGAGAGTGGCCTTTCCTGCGATTGAAACTGGAGGTGTAAAAAGTGAGATGCCGTGAATAGCGACTAAATTTGGGAGAAAGTTGGAAAGATCGCTAGTGCAGCTGGAGTATTCGACAGTAACAGAGCCAAGAACTTGAAGGAGTCGAGGCAGGCTGAGGCCATTGGCGCCGCACTGAGTGTTTGATAAACCGATGATTACGAGATTTCCATTAATGATTGTGCAGTTCGAAATCAAATCCAAAGAACTCAACAAAGTAAGGTCCAAAACAGCCCCTGGGCATTCTACAAGAAATAAGACTACTTTACTGAAATGCAACTATACAGATTTTTGGTCACAAAGCAATGGACTTTGTAACTTTGGGTAAAGTTAATATTGACATGGATTCAGTAACAGCTCGGTCATCGTATGCCGAAAGACACCGTGGATAACAAAGCAGAAAACAGTTTACGAAATTTCAAATTGGGCATATTGGCAAGTAGTGGGCACTACAAAAAAGTCTATAACACTTACATGAATTGTCATAATCAAAAACATTACCTCGCTCTTAAGAACAAAAACAACTCAGCCTTGCGGATCACAATCGCAGACAGCAAAATTCACACCAAAACATTATAAGCGTCTGCAGTTAATTGTAACAAACTTAATATAACGTGAAACATATACTGTCGAAAAATTCTGAACACCGAGGAATAAGCATACATGTACACCCAGAGGAAGCATCCTAATATCAGACGCTTAGGGTAGCAAGCTGCATATAAAAATATGAGCAAGTAAACATCTTACCAAAGTCAGGCAGAGAGTTTGGATATGCGCCACAGTTCATTGCGAAAACAAAGCGATGGTGAAAAGTCAGTGACGCCAACAAAACGAGCAACAAAAAAATGAACCGCCAGCAAAGCACCACCGACATCACGACTTGAACCGAGCAGCTGCATAAACTACATAATGTATTACGGAATGAAGAACCAGAATAGGGGTATCAATGCTGCAGCCATTTCGATTACACCTTCAGTTTAGGCAATTTATCTGTGGTGTGGCGTCGGATTAGGGCGCAGACATATTGGACCACCTGGCCTCAGCCAATCCTGTGTCTCTCTGCAATCCAATGGCATGCGGGAATGGAAGGCAGAAAACCAGGGTAGGACACGACCGCGGTATAGTATATGGTGAGCGGCGTGACCAGCGCGGCGGACTCGGATGGAAGGTGTCTGACATGTGGTTCTGGCTTGTGATTGGTCAACAAAGCCTGTTCTGTTGTACCAGTCTTCTTCCTATTAGGGCTCGGGTATTCTACAGTGGCGTCGTATGAGGGCGCAGACATGTTAGACCACCAGGCCTCAGCCATTCCTGTGTCTCTCTGCATTCTAATGGCATGCCAGGTAGATAAGCAGCCAACCAGATGACACGACTCAGTTGCAGTATGTAATGAGCGGCGTGGCTAGTGTGGAAGACTCGGATGGAAGGCGCCTGACGTATCGCTCTGGCTCGTGATTGGTCAATAAAGCCTCTTCTGTTGTACCAGTCTCCTTCCCAATAGGGCTCGGGCCTTCTACACTGGTGGCAGCGTATGCGTTCGATTAACGCAAATCGGACCCCAGCCCTTTCTCTTCTATGGTCAACAGAGGCAAAGACCCTTATATGCCAGCTGATGTTGTCTTGGCGTTCATCCGATGTCCAATAAACTGCATCCATTGACATTACTCGGGATTAGGACTATTGTATCTGAAGAAGCATTGGCAACTCAGCGACGACGACGATATGGGCAGTGAAAGCCAGCTGGACTGCAACTGCGAATGGACCAACGATGGATGACGAGTCCTTCCTGCAAGTCTACAAGTGCAAAGTCCCTCGTCAACTATTCGCATGGGCCGCTATCCTGCCAGATGTGGGGTGTGGGGAGTGTCGAACTGGATATTATTTCAACACCGGATATCACCAACAGTGAAAGGAACCAAGCCCGAAGCTAAGGACAGCTTCACTCCTGCGGGGGAGGCAGGGTGACGACAGATCAGGGCACAGACATATTGGACACTGGGCTCAGCCAATTATGTGTCTCTCTTCGTTCCAATGGCAAGCGAGGAAGATAAACAGCCAAACAGAGAAGGATACGACTGAGGTGTAGTATATAATGAGTGGCGTGGCCAGCGTGGTGGACTCGGATGGAAGGCGCCTGACGTGTGGCTCTAACTTGTGATTGGTCAATAAAGCCTGTTCTGTTGTGCCGGTCTTTTTCCTATCAGGGCTCGGGTATTCTAAAGTAGCGACGTCTGAGGGCGCCGACATATTGAACACTGGCCTCAGCCAATCCTGTGTCTCTGCGTTCCATTGGCATGCCTTACCCTCTTCTCGATCATAGTATGGGGCAGAAGCGTACAAGTGGTGTCAGCGATACCGTCTTAAAGACGGTAGCGGACATGTACAGAGAACAAATCTAATAGGGTAGAGGCAATTTCCGCCCTCAACCGAACGAGTGTAATATCGATGACGATATCGAGGGTTGGATGGACAATGTGGAGCGATTTGTGAAATATGAAGAACCGGATTGTCGATCACACATGGTAATGAGAATCCTAGCTGTTTCTGTCAGGCGTATTGCCATAATGTCTGGCTGCTTGGAGGACACCCATTATGAACAATCACTTATGGAGATGTCTAAGCTGTTCACGTAGGACGCCGAGAGCATTTTGCAGAAACTGTTTAGTCAGCGATTTCGGCCTGGAGAGCGTGTCGTTGAGTATACGGCTGAAATACATGACCTGGTCAGAAGAGAATACCCTGGTTTGACGCAAGAAAACCTAACGGTAGCCCACGTTCTCCTGACACTGCATGGAAAGATTGCTGTGCAGCATGCGGGGCTTGGGACCCGATCGATTGCAGACGTACAAAAGACTATCATGGCGGACCAAGGCCTGGGGGACAAAATCCAGTTCTCCACACCGGCTCAGCCAAGCTATATTCCATAGTGGCAGCAAAAACGAAAAGGTTCCATGAGCCACGATTCATAGGACCCGGTGGACAATGGACGGGTAAACCTCGCGGTGGAGATGTTTCTAAGAAGCCTCCAGGTGCGTCAGTCTTTCTCCCTGCCATTCATGCGTCATCTGCTGACACCCGACCCTTCGTATCCATAGGTCTATGCAGTAGGTTAATGCACTTTCTAGTTGATACAGGTGCCGGATGTTCCTTGGTCAACCCACGACGGTTTCCTCGGAAAACGTTTTAACCATACCTAGTGAAATCGTCGATTAGAGTTAAAGCCACGAACGGAACTATGATGCTTAGTAAGGGGTGTGTCGATGTTTCATTCACTATCGCGGGTAATCTGTACCAGCATATTTTATATTTATGCCAGGAAATGCCATACGATGGTATACTGGGGTCAGACTTCCTTGACAGGTTGGCGGGTAAATGCAGTCGACCACAGCGGTGTTTACGCCTAGGGTCTCATGAGGTACGGGTAGTATATGAAGAGAGTAACAAGGCCATTTTGGCGATCAAGTCTCAGGCACACCCGACTTCAGAGGAACTAGACGATTGGTGAACACACAAGCACACAGTGAGTGGCTCGATCTCACTCAGCTTCGCAAGCTGGTCTGAGAGTATGCAGATGTATTTTCGTGGGAAGGGGCAGACACTAGTCGAACAAATGTTACGATTCATGACATTCACACGACGGAGGCACGCCCTATTCGACAACCACCCCGACGGATACCTGTGGCGTATCAACAGGCAGTTGAGGAAGCCATTGCGGATATGTTACAGAAGAAAATCATCAAACCGTCGTCATCCCCATGGGCATCGCCCATAGTTATCGTCAAGAAGAAGGTCGGTGCCATTAGGTTATGCGTCGACTTTCGGAAACTAAATGAAGTCAACGTGAAATATAGCTTCCCTATTCCGCGCATGGACGTCAAGCTAGACGCCTTAAGTGGGTCAACGTCATTCATTACTTTGAAACTTAAGTCAGGTTACTGGCAAGTCGAGATTAACCCAATCCACCGAGATAAGATGGCGTTCGTAATTCTGTCAGGGTTATATGAATTCGAGACTATGCCCTTCGGCTTAGCTAATGCTCCCGCAACGCATCAACGACTTATGAAGACAGTCATACAAGGCCTAGTTCCGCAAGAGTGCTTGGTTTACGTGGACGACGTGATCGTACACGCAAAATGTATCAAGCAGCACATTAGGCGTGTACATAATATCTTTGAAAGACTTCGTGGGGCGAGACAGGCTTAATCCGGAGAAACGCACGCTCTTCAGGGAGTCGGTTAAGTTTTTGGGACACGTTAACTTTAAGGAAGGCATTAGAACAGATCCGGATAAAAAGGAGAAGGTTATGACATGGCCGACACCAACCAATGTGGAAGAGCTACGGAGTTTTCTAGGACTGGTAACGTACTACCGTAGTTTTGTCAAAGGATTCGCCCATATTGCGTCACCAATGCAGAAACTTATGGAGAAAGGACGATCCTGGGCATGGACGGATCAGTTTCATCAGGCATTCTGCGACCTCAATGCTTGTCTGGTCACGGCTCCGGTACTGGCCTTTCCCAATGTGAAAAAGGATTGCTCTCCGTTCAGTTTGTACACGGACGCGTCAGACAGGGCGATTGGGGTGATACTTATGCAGGTCCGACCCGATGGCTTCGAACACCCTATAGCATTTAGCATCAGAGCCCTTTCGAAGGCTGATCGTAACTATTGCACTACTAAACGCGAAATGCTGGCCTGAAAGTTTTACCTAGAGCGCTATAAGCACTACCTTTTAAGTAACGAGATTGTGGTACGTACGGACCATCAGACGCTGAGGTGGCTGCATAAATTCAAGGAAACTTCGGGCATTATTGCGAGATGGCTTAAGGTGCTGAGCCAATTCAACTATAAAGTTGAGTATCGCCCTGGGAAAGAGCATGAGAACGCGGATGCCTTGTCTAGGATTCCAGAACATACTGCAGACGCAGCCGCCATCTCCATGGAACAAACTACGGTTGTGAATTGGGGGGGCTGCTCAATCGGAAGATCCCTACATAAGCCTTATATAAGATAGGCAACGCACGGGTTCCCTCAAGCCTACAAACAAAGAGATGGCAGGAAGCAGCCAAGAAGCGCGAGTGCTTTGGTCTGCCTGGAATAATCTTAGTTTTAGGGATGGTGTCCTATACTTTAAGTTTTGACCATCGTACCCTTTGCGAGTGGTAGCACCGAGGTCCGCCGTGGAGCAAATCGTGACCGAACTGCATTTTAGTTTGGGCCAACTGGGACCAGCAAAAGTCGAACAAGCAGCCCGTAAGCGATACTGGTGGCCATCCATGCGCGAAGACATAAATGATATTTGCGCGTGTTGTCACTGATGTGGTGAGGTGAAGTCTCCAACTCACGCGGCCAGAGCACCACTGCAACCCATGACAGCGGGCTTCCAAAACACAATGATCCCTTCGTTTGCGAAAAGTGGAAAGTAACAGGTAATTTAGACTAACGCACTATTAAACTACTTCTAAC